CCTACGCCGATGACTTTTACATAATGGGTAGAACATTGAGAGCGGTAACGACCGCCTTTGAAAAAATTGAGAAGGAGTCTGCCAGAGTGGGTCTGGCAGTAAACGGCGAGAAGACCAAGCTGATGGTATCAACGCACAAGACGTCCAGTAGACTCGGACCAACTGTGGAACTTTAGAACTACAGCTTCGAGGTAGTCAAAGATTTTATACACCTTGGTACCGCCATAAATAAAACGAATGACATCAGTTTTGAAATTCGGAGAAGGATAGTGATGGCCGACCGATGCAAAAAAGCAAGACCACCTCCCGCCAGACCAAACTCACACTCTACAAGACGCTGATACTACCCGTGCTGTTATACCGATCTGAAGCATGGGTACTTACGCAAGCAGATGAGACAGGTCTTGGAGTGTTTGAGAGAAAATTTACCTGAAAGATCTATGGACCGATCTGCGTTGACGGTGAATATCGCCGTCGAATGAACCATGAGTTGTACCAAGCTATTCTCGGACATCGACATTGTTAGACGTATTGAGTTGCAGCGACTACGTTGGTTAGGTCATGTTGTGAGAATGGATGAAGATGACCCACCCCAGAAGGCATATAAAAGCGAACCAGTTGATGGTTCCTAAGCTCGGCTTATGGAACGAAAGTTCTGTCACAAGCCAGCCAGCTAAGTAAGTAATCTTCCTTCGAAATGTACGCAAATCTTATGTCCAGTGGCAAACATTTTTGAATCGTTGTTATTTATTAATATTTTTATGTTCCCTGCCTATAAAACCTACAAATTGCAACATTCTTAGTTAAATCTTGAGAACAATATGGAACTTTAGAAAAAATATATTTTTAATTTGTTGAAAATTTGCCAATCGCCATGCGTAACATTTTATGGAATTTATTTTTCATTTTATTTGAAATCGATATATGAATTCCACATTAAGAAGGGTTGCCATTATCTATTTCTGAAATGAGACGACTACCTTGTATAGTTATGCCAAGAATTGCATTATTAGTATTCACGTCAGATATTCGACGTTTTGTCTTATTTTCAACCTGTTGGAAAATATGTGTAATTTTTATTTTTGTAAAAAATTAATTTTTGTCGACATCGGATGTGTGGGCGACACTAGGGATAAGTAAATCGACTTTCGACTAATCGATTAATCGACTTTTTGTATTAAAAAGTCTAAAAGTCGAAGTCGACTTTTTATCTATGAGAAAATCGTAAAGTCGACTTTTCAAGATCGACTTTCGATTTTCTTCGTAAATATTTGTTTTTTTTTTATCACAAAGCTCAAATTGCTCTTTCCGGAACTTTACTTTATCTGTTCACAATAATTCATATAAAAAATCAAATTTTTAGTCGATTTGTAGAAGTCAGTAAAAGTCGAAAATGGATTTTGAACAGTTTTGAAAAAATCGAAAAGTCGACTTTTTAGTCAAAGGCAAAAATCGAAAAGTCTAAAAATCGACTTTTTGGTCAGAGGCAAAAATCGAAAAGTCTAAAAGTCGACAAATATTTCCTACTAATTGCAAATCAATTCGCTGAAAAATGTGACGATATTCCAAATGCGATTAGACGATAACATTTCATCATGATTTAGAAGTTCCCGGTGGTTTTTATATCAGAGCAATATCAGAACTTGGTCTTCTATAAAAATATTTGTTTTGATATTTGAATTTTGCCTTGTAAGGGGAGTGATCATATGAAAGTAATTGTTAAGTGATTATTTATACTCCTTCGAGTCGAGCTTAATGATCTAAGTTTTGCAATGAAAAGGAAAGCCAGGAGAAGAACCTACACGTACTCCCCATTATGCGACGCCTTTCGCCGTTGGATATGCGGCTCATCAGGTATATTGGGCTACGTGGCTTTACAAAGATCGTATGTTGATAACTTGTATTTATTCCGCCCTGATGCGAAACTTGCATATGCGAATTAAATTCGAATTTGCCAAAGTTCGACATTTGTCTTCATTCTAGGAACAGTCCTTTTCAAAGCAGATTTTTGTTGTAGCGATGGATAATTAATCCACGCACACCTACAATTGCTTCCATGGTATACACATGTTTTGCGCAACCATTTTGAAAGTGTGTTGATGGCTCAGAACGTTAAGTGGTCATTTGTGTTGCTCCGAGGACCGAAGTTCTAGCCCTAGACGTGCTAAGCTAAATTAATTTTTGTTATATGAATAAGTTCTACAAATTGATAAATTCCACAATATGACCTTCGGCTTAAAAATTATTTTGGTACTTGATTCGGCATTAGATGGAACCTATAATAACAATTTTGCGTTACATATTGTGTTATCAGTAAATTAAGGTTTACAATCACGTGAACAATATTATTGATTATATTTTATTGCAAAAAGTGGACATAAAACCTCACGTTATTTTCTTCAATATGTCGTCAATGATTGTGTTTTTTCCATCCCAATGTTAATGCAATTTAAATAAGGTTAGCCGGGTCAGCCAGTAATTATTAATTAACAATAAATTTCTATTAAACATCTCTAAAATCTCAATCGATTTGTTCGACTTTTTGATAATACTTGCGCTTATTGTTTACATAAGCAGCAGACGTTAATATGTTTCGAAAATTATCGCACATACATAAATACATTATTTGACTTGTGACTGAGTAGCGTCCTAACACATTCCACACTGCAACGTGGGGAATTTGTGGGTCATGCAATAAAAAAAGAACGATTCTTAAGGCTGTATGTAAATAATTCATGTCTTGATATCCTTTTTCATAGTTTGATGGTGTTTAAGGATCAATAAAAGTGGTTAGGGTCGCGTGAAAGGCGCGTAAAATGTGATGTTGAAAAATCCATTAGAAAAGGATTTTGTTTTCGGCAAACCCGCACTTCTCAATTTCAATTTGCTTGAAGCCAGGTCATGAGAGAAGATGTATTGCCCGACATAATGAAGGAGATTTAGATCGATGCAGAAACGTTTTATTTTCAGTTCATTTGTACATAAATAAATATTATTTATTAGTTGTAGAAAACTTGCAGTAGTGGATCCTTAATACCGGGTTAGGAAACAGTGGAATGTAATACATATCTCTGGAACATAATTAACAATTTAAACTCCCATGTAAGAATCGATTGTCTGACATCAAGGAGGATATATCGATCTACCAGTTGAGGTGGAGAACAAAAAACCTGTGTAGGGAATTTGTTATCATTAATTTTGGACTCTAATCGAATACGAGAATCGTGGAATCGTTCTGATGATCGAAAGAAAAAATGCAGTGGATCATTAATACATATCTCTGGAAATGTATATCCCATTTAATGTTTGTTTTTATAGTGCAAAACAAAATAATAGCATGAGGTCCTGCAAAATGCAAGCGTGATGTCAAAAGAACCATTGATAATTTATCAAACAAATGCATTTGTGTTCATAAGGACCATGAGAGATAATAGATTATCTGACATCATGGAGGAAGTCATTACATTTAGATCATTCAGAAACCACATCGAATACGTCAGCCATGTGATCATTGTCAGTCAATGAAACTAAAGTGGAATCTCCACCTGAAGGTTAGGAGGAGGGTTTTGATGGAATTGAATGAGCTTCCAATAAATGTTTGATGGTCTCCGTAAAAACCTGTACAGCTAAGCTTTACTGTCCCCCATTAATAGTACGCTGAGTCGGGTTCTATAACAATTTTTGACTATTGAATTTATTGACAAATGATCCCTTAGTCATAATGGAATATATTAACTAGGTTCCAAAAAATGTTTATGGTCCCCATAGAAAACCGATTCAATGAAACGTTACTCTCCCTCATTACAGAAATACATACAAATGTTGCCAGACCACTTAACGTTCTGAGCCATTAACACACTTCCAAAACGGTTGCGCAAAAACATGTGTATACCATGGAGGCAATTGTAGGTGTGCGTGGATTAATTATCCATCGCTACAACAAAAATCTGCTTTGAAAAGGACTGTTTCTAGAATGAAGACAAATGTCGAACTTTGACAAATTTGAATTTAATTCGCATATGCAAGTTTCGCATCAGGGCGGAATAAATACAAGTTATCAACATACGACTTTTGTAAAGCCACATAGCCAATATGCCTGATGAGCCGCTTAACCAACGGCGAAAAGCGTCGCATAATGGTGGGTACGTAGGTTATTCTCCTGGCTTTCCTTTTCATTGCAAAACTTCGATCATTAAGCTCGATTCGAAAGAGTATAAATAATCACTTTAAATCGGATTCTTTAATCATTTCGGATAAGTAAAGTTATTGGTGTATGACATATGCTCACTATAGGTAAACCATTCAGAAAATTGGTTAGGTAAATGGTACAAAAGATACGTTTGTTGGTGGGTAAAAAAAACTTATTTCGTTTAAGATGGAGCGGAGGTGGAATGATGAATCTGGATGGACTATTCTTTCTTTATAGTATTTGAGGATTGTGGTTTAATAATGTTCCTCTATGAAAACGAGGGTGTAGAGGGGCAGAAAAATTTTTAACGGAACTTTTTGAATGTATATCGAACCGAAGTTGATGTAATAGTACGTTTACATTTAACCGGATTTCGTTAACCCAGTGGGTTTCAATTGTCAATTCCTTTGCATATATGTCAAATAAATCCTCATAAAGTAGGTTAACCCGGTAAAAAGTTCTAATGTATATGCCGTTTAATTTCGATTTAAATGTCCTTATTTACGTTTTAAACTTTTTTGAAAATAAAAATCATTCACGAAACGCCCCATTATCGTTTTGCTAAAGATCTTTAGCTGAAGTTTTCAATCTGAGAATCGATAATTTTTTGTTTCATATTTTTTATGGAATAAAATACCTCTTAACATACGATTTACAATGTCATGGCATACCTATCCCAAGATCCCAACAGGCTCAACTCATGCAGTAGGGTAAATAAAAGTTCATTTATTTCTAACATTCTTTCCCATATTTTATTTATTTATTTTTTTTTGAATAATAACAATCGTTAAAACATATTCTACAACGTATTCTACAATGCAAATAAGTGATCTATGGCAATTTTCTTCTCTTCCATGTCGTGTCGAGCAGAGCGCAAAAAATGATTTTCTTCGCAAATGAAACCCATTTTTGTTGCACACTGTGTATCGTTCCATTCAAAATCCGTTCTCCGATCATAATGCACACAATGTTCATTGTTTTTGGAATTATCCGGTTGACCATTCGACCAATTGGAGAATTCAAAAGGTTTGCCAGTTGAAGACCACGTAAATTTATCCTCCAATCCAAGATCGTTGCCACCCAACCATAAATTAGGACATTTTCCTGTGGAATAAAAAAAATTAAATATTACAAATGAAAACATATCGAAAACCGTATATTATCTATAATATTAAAAACGAATCATTCATATGGCCTGCCCTCGATTTTTTTTTTAAATCCACGCTTTTATGGCCACCACGAAAAAATATTTTTTCAACATCCAAGCGTATATATTGATATCAAAGAAATAATTTTTAAAAATTTACGCCTATATATTGACCTCAAAAATATTTTTAAAAAATCTACACTTGTGTTGGATTTCAAAAAAATATTTTTTAAAAAAATCACGCCCATAAATAGGGCATCAAAAAAATATTTAAAAAAAAAAATTAAAAAAAAAATATTAAGAAAATTAATTACTTACCAAATCTCCTACGTAATACCTTCTCAATACTTGCATTCTTTTCCGGTGTATCAATGACTATGAGTGTCATATCCCTTATTGCACATTCATCCTTGGCCTCAAACCAATTATACTGAAAGTTATTATATGGTATCATTGGATTTAAACGGAAGTTCGAATATTTTTTTTTCGGAAAAACATTCCTCTTTACCTTTTGTTCTTCTTCAATAAAAATTTTACCAAATTCATTCACTTTACTCCATTTGTCGGAGACGGTGGCTTCCGTTATAAAAACTACTAAACAGATAGAACTTAGAGCTGCGAACAAATGCCTGACCATTTTGTTTGAATTTTGAAAGTGAACTGAAATACTTTCGTCGTAGAGCCCTATTTATAATACAGACTTGTGTTAGGTGATAAGCTTAAAATAAGACTGATGAGTAAAAAAAATAAATGAATCGATCGATGCAGAGACGTTTTATTTTCAATTCATTTGTACATAAATTAATATTATTTATGAGTAGTAGAAAACTTACGGACAACGTCGATATATCCTCCGATCCATGCACAAGCTGAGGTGATCTGAAAAACTTGTATATATAATATGTTATTATTTTTTGTTTCATTCAATAGACAAATTAAGCGGCACAATGAGTGGCGAATCACACTGAAAAGAAAGAATGAAAGAAAAGGTGTTACCATATTCTGTTAAAGCGGTATGTTTAGTGGGAGGAATGTTCAGTGGAAGGTATGTTCAGTGGGAGAGCGAAACCTAAACAAAAAAACAACCCTGAACATCTGACATTTAATACGTTAACACGTCAATGTATGAGTAGACAAAATGTTGTGAGATCGTTTATATGTGTATTTTCAAAATGTCTTGGAAACATTTGGGAATATGGTGGATGTTTCATGGGGTATATAAGATAAAATGCAGGAAATTGAAGCCATTAGTGGTTCAATAACCGCATTTGTTAAAATATAAATTTTATCTCTGGCAAAATAGATTAACACTATATTTAAAAAAAAAAAGTTAAAATAATAATTGCAAAGAAGACACTCGTGTTTTTTGTTAGGTATTGTGAATAAAATCTAAAGTAAGGTGTTTACTAGGATTTGTTTGCTAACAATGCTATCTTATCGTATATTTCCAATAAAAAATTAAAACCCTTAAATTTCACTGGCCTCCGAAATATCAAAAGCGAGGCCAGTGATTCTTTGAGTTCCGGTTGAAGTTCTTGTCGAAGACCGAAAATTGTTGTACCACAGGCGTTAGGAAATCAGTAAAGTTCCACTGCCTGGTGCCTCTGTCCGCAAGGCGAAATAACCACCAAAATGCCCAGATATATTGGCGTTAAAAATTCGAGAGAAGTAAAGCCCATAACAAGGTAATCATATAATAAGCACTGAGACTATCAAGACCAGGATATATGTGCAGTGACGGTTATATGAACCTCAACATAGTTTTTCCGAAGTAACAACCTGTTGTGTGTTAATGTGCTGTCTATGTGTTTGCCCTAGTTTGTAAGAAATTTTATCTTTACATTGTTAGGAATTTTTAATGCCTGACGTACTTTAATATATATGTTACATATTCCTTAAGAACGATAGAGAAGGATTTGAGTTGACCAAAAATTGAAGAAGGATAACAACATCCCCTATTAAGTGATCTCTCCTAGGGTAAGAGTATTTTAGAAAAACCCCAAACTACTCCTTTTATAAGCAGAATATCCACTCTATAGTTTCGAGGTACTTTAATATATTTTACATATTCCTTAAGAACGATAGAGAAGGACTTGAATTGACCAGAAATTGAAGAGTGATAACCACATCCCTTATTAAGTGAGCTCTGTTAGGGTATGAGTATTATAGAAAACCCCCAAACTGCTACTTTTTTATACTCTTTCGAGTCGAGCTTTATAATCGAAGTTTTGCAATGAAAAGGAAAGCCAGGGAAGAACCTACGTACCCACCACCATATGCGACGCGTTTCGCCGTTGGTTAAGCGGCTCATCAGCATATTGGGCTATGTGGCTTTACAAATGTCGTAAGTTGATAACTTGTATTTATTCCGCCCTGATGCGAAACTTGCATATGCGAATTAAATTCAAATTTGTCAAAGTTCGACATTTGTCTTCATTCTATTTGAATGATTTTTTATATGATTTTGAGCTTTGTGATAAAAAAAACAAGTATTTATAAAGAAAATCGAAAGTCGATCATGAAAAGTCGACTTTACGATTTTCTCATAGATCAAAAGTCGATCTCAACTTATAGGCTTTTCAATACAAAAAGTCGATTAATCTATTAGTGGAAAGTCGATTTACTTATCCCTAGTTTGTGAATAGGGAGAAGTCCTAGAGGTGAGTGTTTATGTTATGAAGGGGTTTCCAACAAATAAATGAGGAAGCTTTGGCAACCATGGACGGGTTGAGAAGCATAGGCCGTAGACCGCTAGCTAACCGGAAGGTCCCCTCTAGCGCAGCCTAACAGGAGTCGTAACAATTTTAGAAGAATATTATACCTAAGTCGAGGTAAAATATTTAAATTATGGGTTGAAATAGGTTTCAAATAAATGTTTTAATGTCCCCATAGGCCAAAGGAATCTTTACTTTACTGTCCCCCATTAAAAAGTACATTTAAATCGAGAACCATAATCATTTCAGATTATTGAAAAGTGAAGAAACTGAAACAACAAGATTTACAATAATGTTGGCTACTCCTTGTTTCGGAACTACTTCCAGCTTATGATCGTCCATCAACTTGGGCAAGCGTGGGTAATGATCTTAAGCCTTCAGTGTTCGCTAAACGAATTGTATTGAAATTTGATTGAGCTTAAATACTACTTATGAGAAGGAAGATCCTCGTCTAGTATTGGCTGTGTAATAATGTAGTAGATTCAGAGATGTAGTTTTTTAGTACTATTTACAAAATATTTACATAGTTAACCGTTAATTTTAAATATTTAAATAAGAGTTGCATTTTAATGATTAATAAAATGTATGCGTTTATACTATAGCAAATAATATTTGAATAAAAACAGAGTTGATCCGCTTCAAAAGTAATTAAATGCAATTTTGAAAATATAATAATATTTCAGGAAGTTAGACGAACAAGATTATGTTCACTATAAGCTAAACGATTTCGAAAA